TTTAATAAAGTAAGCAAACGAGCTGGTATTTTTCCAATGTAATAGAATTTTAGCGTAGAAAAATAGCTTGTGGACACTACCCACAAGAGGGAAACCTTTATTGCTCTAAAAATTTTCGGTTTTCTGTTGTTGCTGAAATTGGCAATCTTTATTAAGAACAAAACAAAAATTTTATAAATATTCTGAAAATTTATAGTAACTGATATTGCGGTTTGGTATTTTTTTTTTATATGTATATAGGAACTATTTTCACAATATTAAGAAAAAAATTAAACTAATTTATTTCCCGCACAAATCTTATTTAAATCAAAAATTTTAAACTACATTATAATTTTGTAAATCTGTTATGTCATTATGTGTAAATTAATTAATCGAAGTCATAAAGCCCACTAGTCAAACCCCATGAATAACATTGCATATTTTATATTTAAAAATAAAAATGAAAGCAATTTCTTATATTTTTTGTTAATAGCCAATAAAAAATAGTTTCCTAATAAAAAAAAAGTTGTATAAAAAAAAAATTACAAACAAATTGATTTCAATAATCACATTCTATCTCAAAAGTTTTTGAAAACATGCCAAAACAAAAAACTTCGAAAAGGAAAGTTTCTCAGCAATTCGATGAGTCCTTATAAACTAAAATAAACTAAAAATTTATAAAAAAAAAAACAGAAAAAGTTTTCTTACAAGTTTTGAGAATTTATTCACAATCTCATAGAGTAGAAAGTTCCAAATTCAAATAATTATATTTTTTTGTAGAGGATGCAAAATACATACCAATACTCGTATTCATAGATCTTATACCAGTTAAAGGAAAAATATGATTTCAATTCGGAAAAATACAAACAGAACATTAATAATAAATGTTGGTTTCTGTACGTATGTGTAGGTACAAATATTATCTAAGAATAACTTATTTTATTCTAAGTATATTGGAAGAAAACGAAGAACTTTTTAAGGAAAAAGGACATGAGAAGTTTTCACTTAGAAAACTATGTCGTTAATAATGTATAAGAAGTACTTTTCATGAATAGAAAATTCCTCTAATACTATCGTCATGTGTTCGTCATAAAATACGAATAAAAAAATTATATGTGCACTTGTATATACAGATGTATGTATATGAATGATTATTAACAAAACTTTCCCTACTTTGTACAATATAGCTGTATTATAATTACAGTGATACATTCATGTCATATATATGTTTCGGGAAAATATGGGAATCTAGTGTTTTGTTTTTTGTTCTTAATGTTGAGTTTTATAGCTATTACACTCCAGATGACCTTGGTACAAAAACTTTCTAATATGATTTTTATAAATATTTATAAGAAATTATTAATTTTTTTACCACAGTGTTGTTATTGTAGTTATAATCAAATTGAATCAAAGAATAATTTAATTGTGTTCTCAAAGTGTTGGGTTAATAAATTTTAGAACAATTTTTATAAAACAAAATGAAATACTTTTAAAATTTTCTATTTTCAGTAACAAAATAACACAATGATAGCATACTTTGCCTATTCAAAATTCCGCCTATATCAAGTTATATTCATTTCATGTAGTTTGAGATCCTGTACTTATGGACGGCTTCCGGATTATATACCTGTGGAAATTAGAAGTATTTCAGAAAAGATAATAAACTGACAATAATTTTTTAATGTTGTGCAGTTAGAGAAGTAAAATTTTTTTAATACTTTTCAAGTTTTTTTCTATCTTTGCCAATAGCAATTTCAGTTTTATGTGATATTGAGTGCATTATACATTTCTTTAACTAGAGCACTTTTATAACAAAGGGTGTTTTGTTCCGATAAGATTTGTAAGCTATAATCAAATTGTATTCCGAAAACAGCGAAAGAAAATTTTACATATTAATTAATTGAAAATAAAAATTGAAGATTAAGGTTAGTAAATCATGTTATTTACTTCACCTTTCTTAATATACTATTGAACATAAATTGCAATAAAACGTTAAATCCAATGCAATTGAAGTACAGTGCGATGCGTTCATAGTAACATACCATGCATGAACTAAAAAACAAAAGTAACTTTTACGCTTTTCTTAATATTATTTTGTATTTTGAACTAAGGTAAATATTAATAAAATTTATTTACCATGACTCGTTCCTTGATTACTTCATCCATCTTATTTCTTATGAGAATTAACAATGAATATAAGCAACTACACGTTGTACTAGTAATTAGTACTAACAGATTTTTATTAACAAAAATTTAAAATTTTTATTCTGGTCAGAGTCATCAAGCAATGAACAAGACGCTAGGACAAGAATTTTGTATTTGAAGGCGGGTCAGTTTTAAGTAAATCAAAATTGAAAGAATATTCTTCTTCAAAATGTAGCATCCCCAGGTGCTATTTATAATTATATTTACATTTTTACCATTAAAATTCAATTCCATATTAGCAACACTTCCTTTAATTTTTTTATATTGCATTATTTTATCACTGCTCAAGATTGTTATCTAAAATTTTTACTGGCCCGCATAAAATAAGGGAGGTTATGTAATGGCAATAAATTTTGCATATTGAGTTTTAGGTGGGAACGCACTTCTCCATAGTAGTGAAGCGTAAACAAACTATTGTTAACCGATTTTTATAAAATTTTATATTTAAGTTTGTTTTGGCTATGTCACAGATTAATTAACATATAAAGAGAAATAATCAACTAATTTCCTAGAAATTTAATATGTATTTAAATTTGGAGCATTAAAACAATTAACATATACATAAATTTTTTAGAACGATCGGGGCTTGGAAACCATACTTTGGACCGATTTTACATTTTTTACCATATCTACGGAACGGATTGATGAAATTTCCTGAAATTTAACATTTGAGCTTTGCATGTTACCGAAACTAACTGGCGAGCATTTCAGGGAATTCGGGTAGCACAAAACGAAATTCTACTAAGAACCAAATTTACATTTTTCTAGGTATGTTAACCAAAAGCTTACTAACTCCCTACAAATTGGAAAGAAGTGAATAATTGGAAGAAAACACTTTCACTTAACTAGACAACATCAAATTTTTATATTTGATTTAAATTTAATTTGCCTGATAACAGCAATTAACTAAAATATGTTAATATATAACTAAATTTAATTTTTTAAAAATTGTGTACGGTCTTGCCCAGCCAAAAATAAACAACATAATGAACATTGTCGTCATAACAAAATAATTTGGCCCTATTATATATAAAATTCTATTTGTCTGATTAAAAACGTAGAAGGTTTTATGTACAGTTTGTATTGTTTTTGGGATTTAAAAAGTGTATGTTAAAACCTTTTTTACCTAATTTATCTCGAAACAATGCGTAACAACACTATTAATCATGTTGAAAATGAAATGAGATACACATATGGATTCGCCAATCAATAGAGAATTGTCATATTACTATGATATATGCGTCATTTTTTGCAAAAATGTTAGAATCTTTTTGCTCTAAAGTCGTTAGAATTTAAATTTGGAACTCATTTAACTTATAATTACAGGTTGGTATTTGAAATTTTTAGTTCGGTTACCAAACCAATCTATTGTGTGCCCGATTCCTGACGCATTCGACTAGTTGAAAAAATTGAACAACCTCAATCGAAATTAAATAACGTTGAATTTCTATTAAGGTAAAGTTTTTCGAAAGGCATAATTGAAAAAAATTAAATAAAATTTTCTTATGCCTTGATAACAAAAATATATTTAAAAAAATCAAAAGAATAAATTTTTAATTAAGTTACAAAATTTACTTTCTTGTGTGTTATTATTTACTCATTTAATTTTTTATTCATTTATTTTAAACGATTAACGAAAAAATTTTAATTTATACGGCACAAAATTTGAATTTCATGTTTTATAAGAATTTTATTGGAATTACATACCTACAAACATAACAAAGTATACATATGTACATGGGAAAGCAACTCAAATCTTCAAATTGAGTAAATTTAATATTGTTTGTTTTTCAGAAAGTCTTAAGGGAATTTTCTTGCACACAAGCAACCGTTTTTAAAACTATTTTCAAAACAAGACATTGGAATGAGCCATACGAAGATATGTTCGAATTATATAATAAATTTGCCTTAACTTTTGTATGCTAAGAAATTATGATCTGAGATATAGACATAAGTGTATCTTTCTGGCCAGCCTCGAATTCTGCGTTGATCTAATCATATCAGTTCGTCTGTCAGAACGGTAACTCAAAAACTAATTGAGCTAAACTCATCAAGTTTTCGCAAATGATTAATAATAATAAATGCAGAAACCCTATTTAAATTTGATGTGATTGAGCGAAAGTTTTTGGTTATATCTAAGAAATTATTGAAGCTTCAATTATATCGAAAACTTGATATTATATCGAAATTTGAAAAAGCAAATATCTTATTTGATCTATTATGAACAATAAAAATCGTTGAAATTTTTTGGCTCTACACGAGTACAGTACACGAGTACACTCTACCTACTCTCGTTTTTAAAACTTTACATAATTTTTTGAGTTCTATAGGTTCGTGTTGTATATTGATATTACGACTTTTTTACCATTTCATTATTCGGACCCATTAAAGTAACAATGTAAAACATAAGTCAAAAGATAAAACTTTTCTAATACTATTTAGATTGTTTACTCATATCAGTATGTAACTTAGTTCCCGAAATGAGACATTTTCTTCCAAAATTATTGGTTTTGGTATAAAACATAACTACCTTTGCATAATCGGATTGAGCATCGCAAATGATTTTTTGTGCAGCATGTCAAGAGTTTGGGATGACTTTAGTTGTTTTGCCTTAATTGTATATACGCCTTTTTCATTTCCATCTGCAACCAATAAAAAATTCATGATTTTTTTTGTAACTCTTGGAACTAAGGTTAATTATTATTAATAAAAAATTAATTAAAATTCAAATTTTTCCAAATTGCATGCACATACTTGTATACGTACGCTTACTTTATACAAAATATGTTTCAAATAAAAAACAATTTGCTTTACAGAAAAGAATATAAAACGACCAGAACGTAAAGCATACGGTCGGCTTAGTATGGATTCTGATGATGCAATATCAACAACAAAAAATATAATGGATGATGGAAATACAGATAATAATTTTCATTTAAATAATTCAAAAAAATGTCATAATAATTGTAACAATAATAACGATAACTGTAATAATAACAACAATCAATACACTGAAAATAATAATTCAACTTTTCAATTGAACCAAATAAATGGTAATAATACAGAATATCAACAACAACAAAATCAACAGCAGCCTCGTTTACCATACGAAATACAAAATGCAGAGAATAGGTTAAATCGGTTACAAGCAATTGCAATGTCAGACGATGAAGATTATGGTAAAACTTTATATAATTGATATAAAATTTAAAATTCATATTTAAGACAAAAATATTTCTATTGTATTGATAGATGAATCGCTTACCTGTAATGTGTGTGACAGAGCATTTCATTGTCATAGACAGTTAGCATCACATCAACAAAAGAAAAGGCTTTTTGTGTAAGATATTAAGAATATTTTTAAATTGAAATTTATTTCAAAAAAATCTTAATAAATTCGGAAATAATCTTAATAAATCTAATTGTTACCATAAAAGTGATGTTTGTATATAAAAGTGAAGCTGAACGTTTACTTTAACCAAAAAAAAGATAGTCTTATAAAAAGATAATCTTTTTTTTTCTATACATGTGAAAAAAATCGTTAAGAGAGAAAAATAGGCGGATTCGAAATTCAACCTAAAACGCACCTGACTGGTCATAATTACCTAATATTATTCATACCATAAGTTTTGCTCTACAGTGTTTTCGTGTCTATATTTCGTGAAGAAAGGCACAAAAGTGCTGTCTGGCGTTGGTTTCAGTCCTTCTATCCTAACCTCATCCTCGATAAATCGCAATTTCCGCAATTTTTTACTTGCTGCTCCAAAAACGGCCTACCTATGTCATGCACAGTTTTTATTTCATCACTTATTTTATGGAAACCCAAATCCCTACCGATATCACTATTGCGCATATAAAAAGTTTGCATCTGCTTGAAATTTGTTGGCTTGGCGTAACCCCACGTTTGTGTACCATACATTAGGCTCAAAATTTGTTTTGTTCAAAATTGTTTTTGATCAATTTTTGTTCAAAATTGTGTAAATGAAATGTTTTACGGATGTCAAGCTATTAAGTGGGAACCAGATTCATTATCTTTTTAATCTTGCTATTGCACTGAAAGGATTCAAATAAGAAACTCAAACAATTACGTATTGCCTTAAATAAGATAAATGAGAACGGCACCGTTAATGTATACGAAATAGCTTCTCTTTATAGTTGGCAAAATCTAATTTGCTAATAAATGTACAAAGAAGGGGAATAATATTTCCTTGGTCAATTAGATTGCCCTATTTAACCAAATTGAATAACTGGAACTAAAAGTACTATATTCTTTATGAGACGCAATATACTTATGGGCAAAATGTATGTACAATAACCTGCCATGATAATACAATAAATTTAATAATTTCTTTTGATCCATATATACTAGTCTTAAATAATATTATCATAAATCACAAGCACTAGTACCCCATTTTCAATATTATAATAATGCAATCATCCTTTTTAGTAATGTTATAATGTCTGTTTTATGTATAATAAACAATTGGAAAAAAATAAAATGGAATATTCAAAGAATATTTATTACTATAAACTTTAAATCTAAAACCGAAATGGAAATTAATTAAATATAATATTTATTTAATTAGATTTGGGTTATAAAATTTATAAAAAAAATTATTATTATGTTTTGCTTTTAGTCATGTCGCTGTTTTAAAACAATAATTATATTTTCTGATTTTAAACCCAAGGGATCTCATAAGTTTTATTAAAACATTAAAATAATGAAGATACTAATTAAATCCCGTACGTACGTACGTACATATGTATGTATATCTATAAGGTTTTAATGTTTTCCAAAATCTGAATAGTTTTGAACATAGCAAACAGAAAATGAGTTTTTGGAAAATCCATAAAATTAGAAATTGGGTTTTTTCCAAATGTTGAGTTTTTGTTATAAAAAAAAAGCGTTTTCTCATTTTCCTTATTGCTTTGTGGAATGTCTACTGACGTGTTTTTATTTCCAAAAGAATTTTTATTTATATACCTACATAGATATTTTAAGAAACAGTAAATTGACTTCAAAGGCCTTCATGAGTTTTTAATGTAACTAGCGTTTTTGTTTATGGATACTTGTAGAATTAAAATAAAATATTATAATAAAGTCACGATTTTAATTTTATTTTGTATTATTTGAATGTTCTTTAAGTTAATTAGTATACTCGTTATCTACATACTTATATATGTCCTCGTACATATGAAATTATGTACATGTTCCCATAAGGCACCGGTTCCTAACTCTTGAAATGGGTTTAATGATATTGAGAGCAGCCATTCCTTGTATTTAACGTGAAATCATTGTATTTGTGAACATACATTTATATCTATAATTCACTAAACTCGAGGTTACTTTATTCACAATAACAAAACAGTAAAAAAATCGTTAAAACACAAAACTTTTAATAAATTAAGTTTTGGAGCATTTTTGAAAAAAGCAAGGCTTATGCATATATTGCTCTATAAAGTCCACAAAACTTATGCGATCCTGTTTACTTAGACTTTATTTCCTTCGTGGAAGATGTAGCTAAATTTAAGGCAAACGGTTTTGAAAATGTTTTCTTCCACTAACTTAGCAAACTCTCTTTAAAGCAAAAATCAACAATATTGTAATATAAAACTGACATGTTATTAGCTTTATACTGTTCCTAAAGAAAAATTAAATTTACATTTTCTTCAAAATTTAATTAAATAATATTATTTTTATGCAAATACAATTTCAAAGGATGTTTTTAAATTTTCGCTTTTTATTTTTCAATATTTTGTTTAGCTGTAATTCATAAATTTTAGAATGTTTTCAACATTTGAAAAATAAAATTGATGAAACGAGGAAATTCTTGCGAAGTAATGAGTTTTGTTTTGCTTTTCCATTCTATATTCTTAGAGAAAACAATGTTACAATGTTATTTTAATGAACTATAGTTTGTAGAATCCTATAAACTCGACAACCAGTTTGAAACGACCAGGAAAATCTGTTTGCTGACTATTGCAAAAAAGTAAATAATTTTTATTTTCTTATTCTAGGGTTTGTGTGGTTTTATTTGCAAGTTTTATATTTTTTATATAATATATTGAATTAATTTTCATATACGTACGAACGTAAACGTATTTTCGCTTGGCTCTTTAAATATAGCTTTATTCGGGAAATGAAGGTAAATTTATAATTGATTATTTGCTTTTGGGAAATAATGTTCTCGTTCATTTCTTTTTCTCTTCATCCGTTCTTTCCAAAAGCTATTATAAAACTAATTAGCTATTATCAAGCTAATTAAATAAAAACTTCAAAGACGTTATATAAGAGTCAATCATGTATCACAGAGTTGCCATGCTCAATTCCACCTGTTCTCGTTATTATTTTCATTTTATCCCCCATTCTTATTTTATTGATACATAGACATATAGTTCCTTAAAGAGATTTAAGAGAACGTAAAAGAATAACGTGTGATATGGATTTGGCAACACTTCACTGTAAATGCGGTTAAAAGTTAAATCTTTAATCTTGCTCAATGCTTATAAAATTTAAATGTTAATGCACACCTTTTTATTGTTTATTTGTCCAATAAACAAAATGTAATGTTAGCAAATTTTCATTACACTTGTGTAATGCATACTTACATCATATTATTACGTTTGTTGAATAAAGTTAGTTGCATCTCTTTAATTTTTGATTGACCATTTATAACTTACAAAAAATAAAACCAAAGTCATAACACGATCAATCAATATCATAACGCTACACAATGTAAGAAATTTTTAAAATGTGAAAACTACGACAATTTTATTATAATTGGAAAAATGTATGACGTTCGTCCGAAAAAATACATTCCAAGTAACCGAATTTTAAATTACTAATACCATTTTATACATACATGATGCAAGTATACTTTCCAGAATCAGGTTATTATGTTTATAAATCGGATGCATTGGTTCACAAAAAATATTAACGTAAAATGATTAAGTTTTTAAAAATTAATTCATCGATGCGATTATTTTGGCCCACTAATTTTTGAATTACTATAAGGCTTCAAAACTATTTTTTATAAAATCACAGTTTTGTTATATGTATACGTTATTGCATAAATACCGTGACCGCATGTAAAACTTGTAGTTAAAATTTCACTTTCTCGTAATTCGCTTTTAACAATTTGTCTTAAATGTAATTGAATTTAAGTCTAACTAGCTTCTTTAAAATTCAAACGTTTTTATTTACGATTAATTCCAAAATTTGTATGTATTAATATTAAACTTTTGCAAAATTTTTTATAAAAAACTGCCTAAAAACAGTAAAAATAACCGCATCAAAAAACAAAAAAGTTGACAAAACAAAATTATAAATATCTAAAATCTTCAAGGGAATCTTTTTCATTTTTCAAATCTGATCTTCCTTATGTGAATTACGTTAAAAAAGAAATAAATAAATTGACATCCTTTCAAAAACAAAATATAAAGCAAAAATAAGGATATTGGACCTAAAAACTTTATTACGTTAAGTTTTACAAAAGTTATCATGTTTCAAATTGAAAAGAGGACAAAGATGACAAAATTATCTTCTATAAATAATTTTTGCATTTAAAATATTAAGAAAAGGCAGACTTTTAAATATAAGTCCATTTTTATATACATGCACATATTATATTATATGTATATATATGTATGTATGTATGCATAAATCTTGCTAAACATTTCATTTAAGATCCAATTCAAACAATTTAATGATTTCAGACATTTTAATGAGGACCCCATAAATATTTATGATACATTTATATTAGGTTTTCCTTTTTTAATACCAAATAATTTAGTTTTATAATTTAATCGTAAAATAAAGGAATCCAAACAGTCACACAATAATACCGACAAGATTTTGTAACCCAGAAACCAATGTTACCATAATTGGATAATTTTTTAAAAGTTCTACTATCTTCATTTTAATTGTGTTTGCTTGCACGAGTAGATTTGCTTGACCTTGGGAAAATAAATTTTTTTTAATTTTAAGTACTTAAAATGTCCAAAACACAATATCGTAATTTCAAACATAAGTAGTGAAAAATTTTTAAAATCTTTCAATACTTAACAAATACACATAAGTGCACTTCACTAAAAATTGTGACGTTCATATAAATTTAAAGTAGCATTGTAACAATTGCGAATATTGTGTGTAGCTTCTTCTGGAAGTCAAATCAAGTTGATATATAAATGCTTAATTACGTGTTTTATAGAAGCACTTTCTATAATATTATACATTGACAGCTGAAACAATATAATATGGACGGACAATAATTTACGTAGATCAAGTTATTTTTTGAATTCAACGTTTAAAAGTAATCAGAAGTAATCAAAAACGAAATT